TGTGAAGAGTGAAGATGATGAAGAGAAACCTCAGTCCTCACAGCTTCATCAAAGACACACTGAACAGATGGAAACAGAAGCAGAGGGAGAGGACTGTGGAGGAGCAGAACCAGCCAGGAACTCAGATCCAGATACACATTTACAACCTGAGACTGATGACAGTGATGATTGGACGGAGACCAGAGAACCTCAGTCAGGTATTTGTCAAGTCACACATTTGCTTGTCTTAAGCTAGTCTCAAGTTTTAACCTTCAAGTCTCTTTCAAGTCCCATGTCACTGTGGTTAGAATCAAGCAAGTCAGGTCAAGTCCTTGGTATGAGTCAAGCAAGTTGAGTCAAGTCATTTTTGTGTGTTAATTGGATATTGGTCAGACTCTGTCTGTGTTTTTTGTGGAGAAGAGATGAACTCTCTCTTCTGCCAGGGAGTTCTCATCTTACACAGCAAACAGCACCAGCAGGGCACTGTGGCTTGTTTGTGTAGTGTTTGATTCCAGCCACTTATATCCCTTTTCGACAGACATGAGCTGGCTTGGTTTGACTTTTCTTGTCTCTCTGCGTGTGTGTTTCTGCAATTAGGGATCGACCGATCCCTAAGATGTTTATGATAATCGGCATCGGCCGTTTTTTTTCCACCGATAACCGATAAAATACGTTTATTTTAAAACGTGCTCCTCTGGCTCTGATACAGCCGTCTCTATGCCTGAAGTCCCCACTCTTGGTTGTGTTACAATGTCCCGCCTACAGCCCCCACTGATTGGTTACACGGATTGGTTACACCGCACAAGTGATACCCAATCAACACTGAAGCTTCTACATGCAGCGCCATAGACTTGGAGGAGAAGCAGACTGCTCCGTGAGCCATGGCAAAAAAAAAGATTTAGGCTAATGGTCATCAAGTGATCATGACCTGGAGCTCCTTTTTTTAAAGCAGCTGTGCGGAACTTTTTACCATTCATAAAACTGTCCCTAGTTCGTATCACCCTGCCTTGAAGATCCGCATATTTATTTGAACCCAACAGCGACAAAAAAGCCTTTCTCTCTTTGGCTATTTAGCTTAGCCTCGGTCGGGTCGGACACAGCGGAAGTCAGCAAACCAGAATACGGCACCCGGAGGCGGAAGTAAGTCTGCACGCCCGCAGCCATTAAACCACAGAAGAAGAAGGAGCCATGTTTACAAGTAAGATTTAAGAAACAGGCTAAATGACATGTAGTAGGGAGGAGTCTCTTGTACAGTAGGTGGTGGTATGCACCTGGAAGTTGTTTGCGATCTGCCAATAAATTGAGGGAAGAAGAAGAGCCGTGTTTACAGAGAGTGTTCTTCGAGTAAGCGGTACGCAACGGGCACTGCTGAACACATAACAGTTTTACCAGATGTATCTATAAGGACTTGGTTGTACTTTCGATGTCATGGCGGATAAAGAAGGAGCACCATCTAAAAGAAAAAGAACAGAAGAACAGAAGGCGGCTAAACGGGACAGTGATAGGGCTCGAGCCCAAACGCGTGTAAACCTCGGTCGGGCATTGACCAAATGGAAAGTGCTCAGAGATTTGAAAGATTTTTAAACTGATCCCGAGTTGGCCCTTTTCCTAATTGACATGTATGTAATTTTTGTTTTTATTAAGAGAATATACCGCAACTTGTTAGATGTTGTTTCACTTCCATATATGACGACATGGAAGTTATAATCAAGCTAAATGTAACGTTAGCTGATGTGAACCGCTTTTGTCTAGTAACGTTACAACAAATGCCACAAATTTATCTGTGACTGTGACCATGAACACAAATATACAGCAGGCAGTTGTCCTCAGTTTATAAGAAATTCAGAGCTACACCAGAACATTTATGATTTTCCTCTCGCTCTCCAAAACAAATGCATGCGGTAATTGTCGGTTGCATTCTAGATTTTACGACACCAGGCTGTGGGTGTCATACCGCTTCGACCAAAGAGGGGCACTATATTAACGAAAACGTAAAGTTCCGCATAGCTGCTTTAATAAAAAGAAGACAGAAGTTAACTCAAAATATAGCTGGCATGAGTGCCACAAATGTGGAAAAACAATGGTCAGACGTAGACTCCCCGCTACCACCCCTTAAAATCTTTCACTGTGACCATTCATTAAATTGCTTTAAAATGTTTTCAACTTTATTTCCAGCATATGCTGTATTTGAAGGTGAACATAACCCATCAACGTCCCCTGCTGAGGGTTCCTCACCTGTCTCGAAGACACGCACAATGCCAAAGAGGAGAGCCACATCCTCTGCTGAGGGTCCCTCACGTGTCTCCAAAACACGCAGAATGCCAAACAGGAGAGCCAAGTTCACCTCACCAAAAACTATACGTTCAAAGAGAACTCGCGCCGCTGAAACACCTGAACAGCATGCAGAGCGACAGCGTGCCAATACAGCTGCCCAGCAACGAGCTCGCGCCGCTGAAACACCTGCGCAGCGTGCAGAGCGACAGCGTGCCGACACAGCTGCCCATCAACGAGCTCGCGCCGCTGAAACACCTGCGCAGCGTGCAGAGCGACAGCGTGCCAACACAGCTGCCCATCAACGAGCTCGCGCCGCTGAAACACCTGCGCAGCGTGCAGAGCGACAGCGTGCCAACACAGCTGCCCATCAACGAGCTCGCGCCGCTGAAACACCTGCGCAGCGTGCAGAGCGACAGCGTGCCAACACAGCTGCCCATCAACGAGCTCGCGCCGCTGAAACACCTGCGCAGCGTGCAGAGCGACAGCGTGCCAACACAGCTGCCCATCAACGAGCTCGCGCCGCTGAAACACCTGCGCAGCGTGCAGAGCGACAGCGTGCCAACACAGCTGCCCATCAACGAGCTCGCGCCGCTGAAACACCTGCGCAGCGTGCAGAGCGACAGCGTGCCAACACAGCTGCCCATCAACGAGCTCGCGCCGCTGAAACACCTGCGCAGCGTGCAGAGCGACAGCGTGCCAACACAGCTGCCCATCAACGAGCTCGCGCCGCTGAAACACCTGCGCAGCGTGCAGAGCGACAGCATGCCAACACAGCTGCCCATCAAAGAGCTTGTGCCACAGAAAAACCTGTGCAGCGTGCAGAGCGACAGCGTGCTGATGCTATTGCACACCGAACAGCACTCTACCATCAAAGGTTGGCTTTAGCAAGAGGACATAAACGCTGTGCAGCCTGTGCTGATGTTATTCAGTACTTTGATGAAACACTGTATGTTGATGTCACACACACTCAGCAAAGTCAGTCTCTTTCAATGTCCTAAGTGCTCTTTCTGTGGTGCATATTGTTGGAAAGAGGAAAGAAAGAGATTCTGCTGTTCCAACGGTCGTGTCGATCTCCACTATGACCCTGACAACCCTCAACCAGGCTCAATCCCTCCAAAACCCCCAGAGGCAATCGGATTGTTACTTGAAAACCCTGTCTTTGTGAAGGATGCCAGAAATTACAATAATGCCCTGTCAATGGCCTCTATTGGTATGTCAGAAATCTGTCCATCAGGAGGTGGCTTCAATCCAGGGGTGCGTATTCAAGGAAAAGAACATCATTTCATTGGCCCCCTACTTCCTGACGCAGATTCAGCAGTCCCCTGTTTCGCACAACTTTATGTCTACGATCCACATATGAAAATCTATCTAAGTGACAAAGCCCCTCGCAACATCCATCCAGGTTTGTACCCAACACCCGAGTCACCTAATAGCAAACAGTGTTCCCAGAAATAGCAATTGCACACTTGCATTCCTGACACTTTGGTCTCTACTGCATTCTGGCCATAGAAATCATAAATGAATAACAGCTCCCATACAGTGCCCTCCCTACAAACCTTCACCTTCACAAACAAACTGCTTCTGGAAAAATACTTCCTGTGCTCTATTTGACGTGCTTTTATGCTTTTATAAAATACTAAATTAAATAAATAAGAGAACCAGTGTAACAACATCCTCTCTTTGAAATGTCACATTTCCCCATACTTTTTAGTGTATGCTTACAATTACCTCTTTTCTATATTCTGTACAAAAGCTATTCTCAAGGACCCTCAAAATGCACATCACTAAGCTCTGATTCAATATTTTTTATGTGATTAAACACCCTTTCCCCACCTTGATCATCAATTGTGTAACTTAATCTTTACTCATTTCAGGAATACTTTTCATCAAAACACATTCTCCGCCCGCAGGTACCGTCAACCTCCCAACTGTGTCAGATATTGCTGTGATTCTACCAGGTACAACTGACAGCCAGCAGTTTGGAAATTCAGGACTCCCTGCTACCAAACCAACAACCACACGATCGTCCAGACATCGTTGCAAGGGTCTTCTACATGAAGTGGGAGGCTCTGCTCCATGACATGCTGAAAAACTGCCATGTCTGACAGCTCCTACCCTTTATATAGATGCTGAGAAGACACACATGGAGCACCAGGCCATTCATTTTCAAAGACTCTGCGTGGTGATGTAGAAGCAACTGTCACAAATCAGTGGGTTGTTCCATTCAACCCATACCTGTGTCTCAGATATGATGCCCACATCATTGTCGAGGTGGTGTGCTCGGTAGCCTCTGTCAAGTATCTCAACAAATACCTCGACAAAGGCCCCGACAGATGCATGCTCTACGTTGGAGGCCCAGAGCAGAACATTGAGCATGATGAAATTGAAAGATACCAGGTGGGTCGCTACATCAGTGTGTCCCATCCAGAAAAAATATCCACCTGTTGAGCTGTTGACCATTCATCTGGAAGGAGACAAAATCATCACCTTCAATAATGATGAAGAAGCTCATGCTGTCATTGCGTCAGGTCCGCCACGTACAACCCTCACAGCCTGCTTTACAGCAATGCAGCAGAATGCTGATAAGAGACCCATCACATACCCAGACATCTTCAAGCATTTCTCCTTTGACAACAAAAGCAAGACACTCAAGCGCAGTAAAAACAGACTGAGTCATGGTCATGATGCAGAGCAGCTGGCTGACACTATTGGTTGCATTCCTGTACTTGCCTTCACACCTCATAACAGTGACCTATACTTCATGCGCATGTTGCTCTACCATGTTCCTGGCCCAACCTGCTACAAGGACCTTCGCACATTCAATTGCGTTGTGCATGACACATACATGGCAGCATGCCTGGCAAGAGGCATATGTGAAAATGACCATGAACTGGTCATGTCTTGAAGAAGGCTACATTCAATTCTGGCAACGACACAAACTTGCCATGTAAGAGGACCTCATACATGCTGCTGGGCTAAACGAGCCAGATGACAACATCATCAACCAGGTGTTGTTGGAGCTCCAGGATCATGTTGAGCGACGTGGATTTCACCTCGCTCTTAAGTTCAATCTCCCTCTGCCAAATCCTGCTCTCATTCAACCATGCATTCCCCAAGCCATCAGACACGAAACACAACACAATGTTCCGGGCCTACAGAGCTACATTGACAATAGAAACACCTTCTAAATGAGGAACGGAGAGCAGTAGCAGACCATGTCCTTAACAGCATCAGCCATGACCTTGGCCGGCTTATTGGTCTTGATGCAAGTGGCGGTACAGGGAAGACATTAACACTTAGTTTCATCCTTGCATCTGAGTGTGCTGATGGAAGAGTAGCCCTTGCAACAGCCTCAAGTGGCATTGCAGCAACATTACTTCCAAAAGGAACCACCTTTCACAGCCACACTAAGTGCCCGATTCTACTCACTGAGGAGTCAACATGTGCTATCAGCGAAAACGACACTTCAGCACAGCTGATCCGTATGTGCTCCCTATTGGTAATTGATGAGGTGTCCATGATGGATCGTCATGCTGTCGCAACGACAGATCGCACATTCTGATGGCTCAGGAAATGTGACTCTCCATTTGGAGGTAGGATTGTAATATGTACAATATCATATGTTAGTATGGATGTCTACATGTACCGCCGACGCCCAAACATGTATCTTTCTATTTTCTCATGTTGTGGACCCAACGAACAGTAGATGTTGCCATTTATCCCAGCTAACCCTTACAGAAAAACCGCATGAATTTCACATGTGATCACATAAATTTCACATGACATTTGTGGAACACGTTGCCCAATTTTTTTGTTAATCACGTGACCACATGCTACATAATCTGATACCATGTGGTCACATGTGATTAGCATAAAAAATGGGCTAAAACCACATGTTTCCCATGTGCAAAGAACATGTTCCACATATTTCACATGTGACAAAATCACATGTGAAATTCATGTGGTTTTTCTGGAAGGGAATCTTCATTACAAACATAACAATGAAGTAATAATAGACATCAGGTACTGGTCATATAAATAATGTACCATCTATTTTACTGCTCACTCAGGTATTACCACCATCTTCAGTGGAGACTGGTGCCAGATACTACCAGTCGTTCGCCATGGCACATGACCTCAGATCATTTCAAGATGCCTGAAGAGCTGCCATCTCTGGAAGCATGTTGAAATCATGCAACTCAAAAACGACATGCTGATCACCCGTGCAGCAGCAAGCATGACAGACGACGCTTCATTCAGCCAGTCCCTACTCAATCTGGGAGAAGGGAAGATCCCTACAGTTCCAGACAAGGGAGAGTTTGCTGTCACAATAAACGCTCATGCCAGGAACAACTCTGCAGGAACTGGTCAACTGGGTATTTGAAAACCTTGACCAAAACATTCACAACCATCAATGGCTGTTTGAAAGAGCAATCCTGTGCCCCACTAATGCTGAGGTGGACGCGGCCAGTCAATACATCGCCAACAAATTCCCTGGTGAGGAGCACACTCTCCACAGTGTGGATACCATCGGCCCAAATGACAGCCACATGTACCCAGTGGAATTCCTCAACACACTCTGCCCATCAGGCATGCCACCACATCGCCTGTCACTGAAGATTGGCATGATCATAATGCTACTGCAAAATATAGATCAAACCAATGGCCACTGCAATGGCTCACGGTACATCCTGAAGCAAATCCTCCCTCACCTACTGGTAGCACAGCTGGTCTCTGGGACTCTCACAGGCACCCAGCTGCTCATCCCTAGGATTTCAATCTCACCTTCAGACAATATTTTCCCCTTCACTCTGGTGCGCAAGCAGTTTCCCGTCCGACCATGCTTTGCCATGACTGTGAACAAGTCACAAGTTCAGTCACTGTCACGCGTGGGTGTCTACTCTGTGAAAGACTTCTTTTTACATGGACAATTCTATGTTGAGGCAAGCAGGGTTGGCAACCCCCTGCAACTCAGAATCTTGACAATCAATGAAGAGGACCACACCAAACGGACTGAGATGAACAATGTCATCCACAAAGAAATATTAATACATACATAAACCCAATGCCTAATGGCCCCACAACATTTACAGGTACGCCGTATGCAACCTGCAGATGCACAAACCATGACCAAACAACTCCAAAAATCGGTTCGCTCTCTGTTCTAAACAAACATTCAGGCCCAGGATATCACTTTTATTTAACATCTGTAAACCTTTACCCTTAATAAAACAGATTCTACCACATATTTTGCATCTCCTCTAATATACTGTTTTTGATTTCTTATTCCTCTATACATAACACATCCCCGGGTATGGACTAGTTGTATTGTTATTGGTATTTATCAGATCAAAATGCTCTGTGAAGACTTGCAGTGCCTCTGCACTCATATGAGCCCTGCTTCACAGGCTGTACATTCACATTAGGCAGCTGCAACCCAACCAAAGTCTACTGCTGCTGGCCACTGAGCAGCTCTCTGACCCTTGACCTTGTTTTATTAGCTGTTCATGATGTTCATTATTCAGGAAGTTACTTACACACACACACACACACACACACACCATAATTTAATATTCTAATCTTGTTTATAATGAATTCATTTGTGTATGACAATTTACCAATGTTTTACCAATGTTATAATCATTTTAACACACACACTGAATATTAATGTTCATTATGCGTTTATTGTTGGTTGACAGGTTTTCTATGTCTATGCATTATTTTTATTTATGGTATTATTTATTGTTATTATGCCATTGTTATTTATTGAGCATTTTTCAATAAAAATATATTGTGTTGGAAAATATTCATTCAGTTTTGTTCACCTGCCAGTAGGCAGCAGTGTTGAGCCAGAAATGTTGGTAATTGCTTCACTCAACTGTAGAAGAACAACACAAGGTGTTGATTGGAGACACTATGCTGTGCATATGCCATGCAAATTGAGACCATGTCCCGCATGATTGGTTGTCACCCGTGCTTGCATTCACCCTTGATGAGAAGAAGCTGCATGCAGCGGCCGGCCCACGTAGGCTCTCTGTTTATTGTCATAGTAACACCGCATGTGCGTTTAAGCGCTAGGGCCCGTCAGTTTGTTTTTAGTCTCCAGTTGTTTTAATTCTGATAGATTGATTTATTAAAATGCTTTACAGGTGACCTGTAGTAGTTTATGTTCATGGTTCAACCTCCATTTGACATGAATTCTCCTGTAAATCAGCATCTTATCAGTTTGACCTATTCACTCAACTACACAGGCTGAATAAACTGTATTTGACTATAAGGTTAATATTTTCAGGGAAAAAAATACAAGACAACAGCTTTCATTAAGGCTCAGTCAGATCCTCACATCCCACTGACCTCAAGTCTCTGTGTTGCTAAATACTTCAATAATTAACAACAGTCCAGTGTTAATACACAGTAGACTATGTATAGTTTATGATGAATGTATTTAGTCTCTGATGACTAAACTTCGCGCTGGGGGCGGGTGTCCCACATTGTCCCTCACAGACCTACTCCTTGTCCCACATTTGGTTTATTGGGACCTGGTCACCCTAGCTGGTGTTTGCAGTGTTAGACTAAATAAATAACTTTATAAATACATACAGTGTTTAATTTACACTAACGCTGTCAAGGATAATGATTTATTTTGAGGCCTGAGACGCGGAAGTGGAGAAGAAGTGCTGGTGAAAAACCATTGAAGTGCAGTTTAGTCCATCATTTACCTGTTAATAGCACTTATCTTTTATAAGAGATTTTGGCCAAATGTATTAAACAACAGGAAAAACAGCGCACAAATAGTTACAATAAACTCTGTAACCTGTAAGTTGATGATAACGTAATGCAATGAGCTACTGCAGCCGATGCGGCCGTCATAATCAGTGATGGCACAAACCTTCTATCTCCACTTTCGTTGGTCACAAACCTCCTAACTCCAAAATATTAATAAAGTAATGACACATTCAAATATCTGGCTATATGTAAAGACACAGTACCAAGTTTGATGACGTTATGTCCAGTTGTTACAAAACCACACGTTTTGGTTTTTTTTTCATTTCCTGAAAAGTAACAGTTTTGGACATAGGAGGTTTGGGCCTGACAACGACGCTATGTCAACACTGATAGTCTGATTTTACTGTGGCCACTACCCTGTGCAACCTACATTATTTTCATAATGATATACTTAGGAAAAGATGCCATCTGTTGCCTCTTTAATATTTAATACAAATGACGGCTGCCACTGCTGCTTGTTGTTCAGATGCACGGCATATCATGTCATAGGTGGTATTCCATCTGGTGATGCAGTCATTTATCAGTCTGTCTTTTTTCAATCCAAGGAGCTCCTGCTTTTCCTCCAGCAGGCAGGTGTGGGATGGAGACCTCCCAAAATGGGATGCAGTTTGCTTTAATCTGGAGAGAGCAATGTCAACGGCTTTCACCTCAAGCCCCTTGTGCATGGCCAGGTTTAATATGTGTGCCAAACAGAGTACATTAATAAGCCTAAATTATGTATGGCGTCAACGTAGTTCAGAGCATTATTGGTGGCGACTGCCACAACCGCATCACAGGAGATGTCAAACTCATCCAGTGTGCTGCTGATGCTTTCTGCAACGTGTACAGCTGTGTGGTTTCCTCTTAATTCCTTCGTGCACGAAACATAATTTTCAAGTTCCCATTAGTGTGATATACAGTGAGCTGTGACTGTCACATAAACGTGTGGCCAGGGATGTCCACCTTTCCTTCCCGTATTTTCTTTAAAATAGTCTTTATGTTTTCCCGTGTGGTGTCATACAGCTGCACTATGTGTGCTGAGATTGTGGTGCGACTGGGAATTTTATATCGTGCTCCAGTTCCATTATGAGGTCCTGAAACCCCTCTCCACAAGTAACTCCAATGGGCCAAAGGATCGTAGTGTCGCCTTTTCGAGTCCCCGTCCGGACCAAAATATGGAGCGTGGACTGGTGGCTGGAGAGGTGCCAGTTCACTTCCTGGGCACTGCCGAGGTGTCCTTGAGCAAGGCACCGAACCCCCCAACCGCTCGGGGCGCCTCACCAAGGGCAGCCCACTCTGACATCTCTCCAATTTGTGCATGTGTGTGTCTTTCGGACCTGTGTGTAATTGACAAGCAAGAGTGAAAATATTGAATTTCCCCATAGGAGGATTAATAAAGTAAATAAACTTAAACATAAAACTTAAACTTTCTACCACTGGTAGCTGAGTTGAGAAACCCCATGAACCCCCCATGAAATTAGCCAATGCTAGCTAATTTAGCTAACATAACATATCAGAAAAATGGCTTTAAATGGTCCATAATGTTATCTACATTGTGTTGCTTTGTAAGGCAGCGGATACTGTGCCATTGCTGGCATTTTATTTACTCAGGCTGCCAGTAATCAAACTTGACTCACGGCAAACTCTCGCATCCTATGGACAATCATTCTCACATAATTCACTTTAGACTGAGCAAATAAAGAGCCACACTGTAGCCTCCAGACATGACAAGAGTAACAGTACATGTTAATGACTGCTATGAAATTAAAGTTCACCTCAACCTCACTCACTCAGCTGTGTGTGTGACACTGTGAAGCTGTTTGATGCTCAGACATCTGAAGAAGTTCAGTAAGGAGTTTTTGAGCTGTGATGTGAATGAATGACAACATTTCTCTGTAACGTGTGTGTGTGTGTGTGTGTGTGTGTGTATGTGTGTGTGTGTTTCCTGTTTCCTGCAGACGTCCAGCAGCTGTTGGTGGTTAAAGAAGAGGTTCCCCCTGAGCAGCAGGAGTGGAGCTCCAGTGTGGACCAGGAGGACCCAGAGCCTCCACACATTAAAGAGGAACAGGAGGAACTCTGGATCAGTCAGGAGGGAGAGCAGCTTCAAGGGCTGGAGGAGGATGATATCATCAAGTTCACATCCACTCCTGTCTCTGTGAAGAGTGAAGATGATGAAGAGAAACCTCAGTCCTCACAGCTTCATCAAAGACACACTGAACAGATGGAAACAGAGGCGGAAGGAGAGGACTGTGGAGGAGCAGAACCAGCCAGGAATTCAGATTTGGATAGACATTTACCATCAGAGACTGATGACAAGACTGGAGAGTCTTCTGAACCAGAGACTGATGACAGTGATGATTGGAAGGAGACCAGAGAACCTCAGTCAGGTTTAAACTCTCTGAAAAATGATCAAGTCTCTGTCAATGATTTGATTGTTGGTGAGAAACGATTTTGCTGTTCTGAGTGTGGGAAAAGATTTGGTCGTCGTGGAATTCTGAAGCAACACATGATATCTCATACAGGAGAGAAACCATTTAGCTGCTCTGAGTGTGGGAAAAGATTTGGTTACAGCCGTGATCTGAAGGGACACATGAGATCTCATACGGGAGAGAAACCATTTAACTGCTCTGAATGTGGGAAAACATTTGGTTACAGTGGAGATCTGAACAAACACATGAGATCGCATACAGGTGAGAAACCATTTAGCTGCTCTGAGTGTGGGAAAACATTCGGTTACAGTGGAGATCTGAACAAACACATGAGATCTCATACAGGAGAGAAACCGTTTAGCTGCTCTGAATGTGGGAAAACATTTGGTTACAGTAAAAGTCTTAAAGTACACATGAGAGCTCATATAGGAGAGAAACCATTTAGCTGCTCTGAGTGTGGAAAAAGATTTGGCCTCAGGGGAATTCTGGCAGTACACACGAGATCTCATACAGGAGAGAAACCATTTAGCTGCTCTGACTGTGGGAAAAGATTTGGTTACAGCGGAGCTCTGAAGAGACACATGAGAGCTCATATGGGAGAGAAACCATTTAGCTGCTCTGAGTGTGGCAAAACCTTTGGTCAAAGTGGAGTGCTTAAGAAACACATGAGATCTCATACAGGAGAAAAACTATTTAGCTGCCCTGAGTGTGGCAAAAGATTTGGTTGTAGTGGAGTTCTGCAGGAGCACATGAGATCTCATACGGGAGAGAAACCATTTAGCTGCTCTGAGTGTGGGAAAAGATTTGGTTATAGCGGAGCTCTGAAGAGACATACGAGATCTCATACGGGAGAGAAACCATTTAGCTGCACTGAGTGTGGCAAAACCTTTGGTCGAAGTGGAGTCCTGAGGAAACACATGAGATCTCATACAAGAGAAAAACCATTTAGACCCAGGACTTTGTCTTCTGGGAAACATAACAAACTTGAAACTAAATCAGAGTTCCAGGAAATTCATTGATATCCGTCTTGCTGTTTCGAGAAAATGTATCGCAT